GGGGAACGAGCCCCGTGCGCTCCCTCCGTGAGGGGAACTGGGAATAAACCCATTCTGACCCTCCGTGAGGGGAACCGGGAACGAGCCCTGTCCGCCCTCCCAGTGAGGGAAACCGGGATAGAATGAGCCTCGTCCGACCCTCCGTGAGGGGAACCGGGGCGGGACTGTCGCAATATGTGGAATATGTCAAGATTCTCTTAAAGTCAGGATGTTTTTTGGTGTACGCTCTTTATGTACTTTTAAGCCTGATCAGCAAGGGAGGAGACCTAATGAGTGCAAGGGGCAGCAGGAGCATCCCTTAGTCAGGGACATCTGGGAACTAACAAGATTTAAGGATGTAGTAAATCAAGATGGTGATGGATGTCTATAAATACCTGGCTAACTTGGCAAAGGACTTAAGGTCTGTGTATCCTAGAGCTGAACTATCTTCGTTATAATATTAAAATCACACTTATAGGTCAAAAAGACCCTGCCCAGGTGCAGACCCATCCTTTGGGAATGTGGAGAAGTTCCCTGGGGTTACGTAATTTGTACGGAAATTACTAAATAATCCTAATAATAGAGGGGCTGTACTTGGAAAGGGACTAACTCTGAACTTCCATGTGTAAATAATTTATGGATACTACCTCCAGTACAAACTACCATTAGCAGCACCCAACGTGCACGAAGGGAAAACACCGGCACAGGCTGCCCGGGGCACTGGTGGAGTCACCATCCCTGGAAGTGTCCATAAAACTTGGCTGTGGCACTTGGGGACACGGGTTAGTGGTAACCTTGGCAGTGCTGGGTTAGTGGTTCGACTCTGATCTTAGAGGGCTTTTCCAACCTTAATTATTCTGTGAAGAATGAGAAGGAAAAGAAGGAGTGGTTACCAAATCACCAGCATTTGGCGTTAATTCTTAAAGAAGGAAAATACTGCTAACACTTTTCAGTTAATTTGCCGTATCTGAAGGCACAAAAAAGCGGGATACACGAATACCTGCTGCTCAAAGGCACTAATGAGCAGCTATTAGTTGTTTTGCTAAATGCTGTAACCCGAGTCTTTGTGGTGCTCACAGGAGACAGGTGAGTGCTGCTGGATAAGAGCCTCAAGCAGCCAGACTAAAGATTTGATGAAATGCTCCTGTTATGATACTTTGCAGCCTGTGGAAGTTGGTTACCTGATCCTCTGCTGTACCTCAACCTCATTGTTGCAGCTTTTAATAACCAAATATCCAGACGACCTATAAAGGTGCCTTTGAGGAAAGAAGGATGGGAAAAAAGTCGCCATTCCCAGCTTGAAATGGGCAATAAGCAAACCATTTTCACTCAAGAGCAACTGGATGCATATCAGGTATAAACCAAACTAAATGGCTGTTTGAACACAACGCTGAATAATGGTAAAGGTGTTTTTTTTTTTTTTTTTTTAACAATCTCTTTTAAAAATTAATAAGTAGAAGTACTGAATTACACCACAGATTTTAGTGATATAGTTTGATCTTTATCTCAGGAAGAACAGTTATTAAATACTTCTCATTATATGCCAAAAAGAGAGCTTTAATGCTTAGTTATGTATTTTACAATATAACTTCATCTAAGTCACTGTACAGGAAAAGTTTGGGCCAATGCTTGCTAAAAACTCATTACATGTTCTATCTTTTCTTGTTTCACAGGACTGCACATTTTTCACAAGGAAAGAAATCCTGAGGTGAGTATTCTGTGTGCATTTTGTGGGTAAAGGACATGGATTGCTATAAAGGCAGGCTACATATAGGGTGAGATATTTTAAATTTGCGTAAATCTATTTTAAAATTGGTTTTAAAGTGATACCTTTGGGCAATCTTAGTATTTTTGTTGTTTTTTTTTTTTTTAATGTACAAACTCTGTGTTATCTATCCTAAACTGAGACAGAATTCTGAATTTTTTATTTATGTACCAGTCCCTCTTTATTTATTGTAACAACTTACATTTAGTGGATACTTTGCCAGCAACATCCACGTTTCACATTGTTTTATGACAGATGCTTCAAAATATACTGTTATTCTTCGGAATACTTGGCCTGATTTTCATAAATCCTTAATGATTGTGTCAAGTTTTCTTCATGTCTGCTTATAAATAATTACACTGCTGCTTCAAAGTGCATTTCCCCCCTTCATGTGCCTCACTGAACTCTCCATTTAATCTCTGGCCAAAGGTTCTGATAAAGACAAGATCGGGAGTGGGACTGAGAGTCTTCACTGAAAACCTGAACTTCTCCTCTTGTAAGAAATACTCACCCAGGCAGTAACATACACAACACTGAAGCTCTGTTTGCCCTCCCTGACCCTTGGGTGTGTGAACAGAAAGGGAATTGTTCCATTTCTCTGCTCTCAAGATGCCACCACACGTGTTTTTTGGCAGTTTCTCTGAAGGGCAGAGCACAGGGGACAGTTTTGTACAGAACTTCAGAACCCTGACACCTGCGTATGGATTTCAGACAGGATAAAACAGGAATGGTTCTGTAAAAACTGGAATCTGTATCTGCCCCCTTTCCCCATAGGAAACAGAGGCCAGAACCATAACTATGTCATGAATTAAGACATTTATTATTGATAAGGATCCCTTTTAAAATTCTCTCCCATTGTTTTGTTGGTAACAGCTGTGAATGGGATCCTTTCTCTAGCGCGAGAAGAAAGCAAAGACTCGCTGAAAAAGTGGTCAATGCATCCCAATCCTGATGCACATTTGCTGTCTCTTGAACCTGAGTTCTGTGGAAAAACAGGAAGATACTTGGGATGGGTAAAATCCTGTTAGGGTGGATCCCAGATCTCTCTCCCTGCCCACGACTTTAGGTTTTATTCTGACGTTTAAACGGAATTTTTCACGCTCCGGTTTCAGCCCGTTGTTTTTTGGCCACACCATGCAAACAGATCCCTTCTGCCTTGCCACCAGCATTTGTGTGTTTGGAAACAAATCAGGTGGACCTTCAGGTTGAAGGTCTTGTGCCTTGTTATCATGAACACACATCCCAGTGACTCCACGTGCCTGAACCCCTCTGTAGAATAAACCTGACACTGTTAAAGGTGGGTTTGGATACAGGTGTGAAGGGGTTTGGCTGCATGAGCTGTGTAAGCATTTTCACCTCACTGTTCTATAATGGAGCTTTGTATTTTTCACCAGTTACACCGTGTTGCTCTCAATACTGGTTCTTCCACCACCAACATAATGATTCTGTGATATATTATAGATATACTTGTTATATATATAAAGAGATGGACTCCATGATCCCTGTGGGTCCCTTCCAGCTCAGAATATTCTTGATATATAATATATATATAACATATATGTTACTTAGTGACCCATCTCCATCTGGTAATGGAGGAAAAGAGCGAAAAGTGAGGTGGAGGAGGCAAACACCTTGTTCTCAGAGGTCTAAAGGACTCATTCACCAAACAAGCCTTTCTTTCTGCCTCAGGCTGTTTTACAGGTACCGAGATCTGGCCCCTCAGCTCGTTCCCCTCGACTACACGGACAAACCAGCTGTGACACTGCCCTACGAGCTCATTGCCAGCATGCCAGAGCTCAAGGTACGAGCCAGGCACACGACTCGAGTGACACACTGCAGTTTAATCTGCCCTATTTTAATAATTCATCCAGGACTAATTGCTGGGAGCCTGACATACAAATAAATTTGGGTTATTGACGGCAGAAGTCTTTCTGGAAGCTTCTGGTGATTCCCAAAAAACACCCTGAAACCGCACAAAGTTTAAAGCGGCCGCAGCTGCGGCTGCCTCTGACACGAACAGAAGGGCAGAGGGGGGAGAATTTGCCAAAAAGAGGTTTCAACAAAACCAATCTCGCTCCAGCTGCCTTATCTGCACTGCAATCAATGCTGGTAAGGATGACCTCCCCTTGCTCCTGTGTTTCCCAGGACAACCCGTTCCGGCAGCGGATTGCAGAGGTGTTCTCGGAGCACGGGGACGGCAACATGACTTTGGATAATTTTCTGGACATGTTTTCAGTGCTAAGTGAAATGGCTCCCAGAGACTTGAAAGCTTATTATGCTTTTAAAATTTATGGTGAGTGAGACATGCATAAAAAGTAAACAGTGGGGAAATCCTGCAGCTTCATGCAGGGATGCAAGATCTTCATTATAATGATTTCTAGTTAGCATTTCTTTTAATTCCATCTCAGTGTTTGTTCTCTCTCTACTAAAAACTTTTGGTTTTCTTTATCCTTTTGTCTCTTACTTACTTGGGATCAGGATTTACTACAAAATTTACAGCCTGAAATTATCTGCGGTTTTCAAGAGCTGATAAACATTTAAGAAATATTTCTGTCTGAAGAGCTGCTTGGAAAAGTGCAGCACAAGGGATTTGGCTGCCCATAAATCTGTAGGGTGGATTTGGGAGGGGGAGGCAGGGAATAACAGTGCAGGCTTTTTTCTCCAAGGACAAATTTAAAGATTTAACTTTTTTAAGGGACTATTTTCAGTTATTTTCTTTATGATCAGCTAAAGACAAACCATATATCAAAGGAACAAAATCTTGCTGGAATGATTTAATTATGGCTACACTATGTTTAGCCACTAAACTATTTACAGTTGTTACTCTTATACATGATAAGGAGAAATGATTAGGCTTTTATTTTGTAACTGATTTTTTTACAAGCACACAGAGGTAACTTCCTTTCTGGTCTGAGTTCTGCTGATATAAATCCATCACATCCTGGGAACTAAACCCTCCTGCTGGGTCTTGGCAGCCAACCACGTAAAATGCTGAAATTCTGTCATTCAAATTAATTTTTGTCTCCTTTGTCAGATTTTAACAACGATGATTACATATGCAAATCAGACCTAGAGAAAACTGTTAACAAATTAACCCGAAACGAGCTGACCCCAGAAGAAGTCAGCCTTGTTTGTGAGAAGGTGATTTACGAGGCTGATGTGGACAATGATGGCAAACTGTCCTTGGAAGACTTTCAGCACATGATCATACGAGCCCCAGATTTCCTCAGGTAACATTTGCTTTTCATTTCTGACACAAAAATTGCTCTTAGTTTCTCTGTCAAAAGCCTCTGAAGTGTCTATTTTATGTTTCCTCAGCCTTCATAGATAACCACTCTTCCCTGGCAGGTTCTAGTAGAGCTGCAAAGACTGGGAAAAGAGATGCTTGAAAAAAAGCCTGGAGGCTCCTTGACTTGCTTTTGAACCTCCAGATGTACTTTTTATACGACAAAAAGTCCTTGTAACTTAAAAAGTTAATATCAGCACTCAGGCTGCACTGGTAGGTCCATGAGATTTGCTCACTCAGTGCCTGACATGGTGTTAATGTGGTTCTGATGCACATTTCACACAAAGCAGCACTCAAATCTTGCATTTATTTAATGTACCCAGTCCTTGCAAGTGCTTCATGAAATAAAGTTTCCAATTATAGTACAGCCCTAGAATTAATTGAGTTAATCCTTTGCATAGTGACACATAAGTGATCGTGGCTTCCTCTTGTTAACAGCACATTTCACATCAGGATCTGAATCCAGTGAAACACATGGATGGAAGCACTTCTGGAACCTTAAAAAACTATCACTTCATCCAAGATTACCAACCATAAGAGCACAAAATGAGAGGGGCAAAGAGGACAACTTGTGATAACTGAACCAGTCAGAAAACTGTTCTTGTTTACCTCTCTTAAAGGATCAATTAATTAAGCTCTGCAGCAAGATTTCCCTGGAATTTAACAAAATGTCTATTCCCCCCTCAGCTAGAGCAAACCTGGCCTGGACAGTGAGATGGGAAGTATTCTTTCAAAGTTCAGATACCACCAGGTAGTAAAGGAGCTTGTATAGCTTCGAAAAATTCCCAAGAAAATGCCTTAACCAGGAAAAAACCCGCTTGGGAATAGTTTCCAAAACACTGTCATTAATCAAAACTGTGTAAGCAACTCCTCTGATCATTTAGAGTCTTAATAAATGCTCCAATTAATCAATTTGCAGAAGTTTTCTCCAGAGTGCAGGATTTATAATGAGAAAGTCAGCATACTTTGATAAAAAACCCTTCCCCAAATTCTGTCCCTCTTCTCTAATTTCAGAAATCCCCTGTTTTCCACACCAGACTCCATATGCACAAATGACAAACAGAACTGACAAACTAAGTTTGTAAAATTCTCTTTTCATAAGAAGTTTATTTATGCAGTGCTCAGGGTCCTGTACAACAGAGTAAAAACAGACGTCCTGTAATAAACAACAGCTTTAATACAAACATGAAAATCAACGAGAAGGGTTTAAGAAAGCAGTTGTAACGTGGGAAGGGTGGCAGCCCAAAGTGGTCATTCTAAAAACACAATTTACACTTCTTTTTACAGATTTTGGGATGCATTAAGTTCCCTTCAAAAGGAAGTCCTAAGTCCCAACTCACGCTCCAGGCAGAGCACACGGTTCCTGCAGAAAGGCTGGAAAGCTGCTCTTTCCAGCTGCTAAACTTTGTCAACCACAGAAACTCCAGGGATCAGTGAGAGATGGGCCAGGGAAGGAGGCAGCCTGGAACACTCAGACTGCAGCTCCCATCCACATTCCACTGAGCAGATCTTTAGTTTAAACTAGAACTGAAGACACAAGTCATCATTCTTCCCTCAGCCCTGTAACTTCTAGAACAAAGGAGCCCATCCTCACACAGCTGTTTGTTCCTTCCCCCCCTGGCACAAACAAGTCCAAGAAAACACAAAATCAGGGCAGTTTTGAGCCAGAGACACCCCCACAACAACCCCTCAGCAACCGTCAGGGGGATGATCAGCATCTCACATGAAAGGAGAGACCAAAGAATTTTCAGCAGCAGTAAAGAGACTTACAATAATCCATAGGATTTATAAATCTGAGGCTGGAATTCTGACGCTGGCATAAGGCTCTGATGCCAGGGAACATGAGCTGTGCCCATCAGCACAGGACACACACAGCATGGGTGTTAAATCAGTGCCAGAACAGCAGTTCCACCAGTTACTGACCCACTGACAGCTCTGCACCCAAAAGGGTGAGGACCATCCCAAATATTGCAACCAGCCTGGAAAATAAGGGCAACCACAGAATTCCATGATACTCATTGAAGTAAGGGAATTTGAGAACGTGCTCAAAAATGGGCTTGTTTCTCTACAAACCCATTGTTAATCCATTACCTGACATTTTAATGGTATTCAGACACTGAGAATGTGTAGTGTGCACACTTGGTTTTGCAGATCTACCTAAATTCCTCAGTTTTACAGATTTTGTACCCAATTTCAGATTTTTTCCTCCTTAGCTAAAGAAAGCTTAGATACATTACTGAATGTATTTCCCCAGTGCCTCTCTGATAATTGTGTTTTCCATAACACTCAATAAACACAGTAACTGAATGATGTGATGGAAACACCAACCAGATATCGTACTTCTCCAAGATTTGATGCCTGTATTTAGTGACACAGAGCCAAGCACAGGTGCAGTGCAGTGTCTTTCACCTTTTCCTCTCTTACATTTGCATTTTAGGTTTCATATTGCTCACACAGACTTAATGCCTGGGTAGAGCCTGCATACCCAGAAGGATAGTGATGGCTGTAGTCACAGTAACTGCATAAAACTTCCTGAGATCAGGCAATAATGTACTTGTTCATTGAGTCAAACCAACCATTTCAAAGGAAATCACGCTCTAATCAGGTACATAAACATGTGCAACAACCAGCATAAGTTCAAACAGAAGGTATTCACAAAGAGTTCTGAATGCAAAAGAGTAACTTGAGATTTAGAAAATGAGTGGAAAAAATCACAATTCCATCCTTCAAGTTTCACCCACTTGTAAATGAACATGGTTTGCTTTCCCCAGCTCGAGATGAGTTATTGATACTGTCCACAGGCAGACCTGTGGTGTCAAGTCAGATAAACCACTTATTTTTCCAGTCACCTTGAAAAATAAGTCTGGCTCAACATCTGGCTGTATGAAGCAGAATATGGATGTGAGACAATCCACAGTTACTGCTGAGCCAGAAGCAAATCATGACACTGATCAGTTTTGTGGAGGAAAACAGCACTCAGACCATGCCTTATCACCTCCCCAGTTCTGCCTCAATCATTTCTTGAAGCACAAACTCTCTCTTTAAAACCATCCTTATCTCAAGACAGAGATGCTGCTCGTCCAAGCTACAGCTCTGGGTTAACTACACTCTGAACCACAGTGTCTGGAAGACTCTTCAGTGAGGCTTCAGTGATTTTATCCTACAAATACATCTGTGTGTAAATCCACTACGGTGCACAATCACCAAGTCCTGCTGCTAAAAAGCCACAAGTAAACAAAAAAACCAAATCCTCATAAGGTTCTGGTTAGAGGAAAGCTTTAATCATGACAGAGCTTGTTGTAATCTGCTATTAAAAAAAGGTTGGTAGAATCTAAAATGCATTTTTATAAACCAGTAACGTACACAGTGAAATATCCTTTTTCCATTTCAGAGGAACAGGCAGCATTCCTGTTGAACCCAGTAGCAGGCTGCAGATTTATAATGTTAATTATGAACAGATCTGTAATTATGATAGATCTTTAACTACAGTAACACTTACCAGTGCTACTCTGAGGCCAGAGATTACCACCACAAACTTGGAAGAAAACAAAACCGGTGAGTAAATTCAACAACTTTAAAATCAACTTCAATTCTACCCTTAAGTGCAGTTGTCAATGTAAACGAAGCATGTTACAGCCCCAGTGAGCTGCAGGACACAGCTGGGAGTTTGCAGGGATCAAACACACCATCACTGCCCAGCAGACTCAGAAGCAGATGCTCTCACTGGCTCCTTTAGTCAGGAGAATTGAGATCAGAGCTGCAGCCCCAACCTGGCAGGGGCTGAACGTGGCTCCTGCATCTCACACACGGCCACGTCACGGATGGGTTTGGGGGAATGAGTTCCCAGCCTGTTGCTGGGAGGACTGGTGTCGTTTGCAGTGACACGGGTTGTTGCTACCTGACATCTGCACTGGGACACCCAGCAAGGCAAGGTCAGTCGGAAAGAGTCTGTGTTGGGAAAGGGGATGTGCAGCGTTTGTTTGCATGTGAGCAAGTGTGCATGGGAACACGCCACGGGGAGCAGTGTGGCACTTCCTGGTCACTACTTAAAACTAGTTACTACTTCATGACAGATCTGGGGTCATTCCCAGCTGGAGAGTGGAAAAGTTGCCCATTGCAAGGTGACAAATTTGCTTTAAGTGTCCCTGCCTGACCCTGACCCGGTTCTCCAAGAGCAGATGACAGATCACCCGCCCAGGACTCGCTGCAGCCATCAGCTCCTGTCAAACACATCTAAACATCTGGAGTACTTAATTAATCAATCAAGTCTAATGTGGATAAATTCCTGATGGTAAGGATCCGTTATATTTACAGCACACTTTGGCTTTTTAAAAAAATAGAGATTCCTTCGAGGAGGATTTTTTTTGAACGTCAATTGTACTTGTGGATTGTCAAGAGTAACACAACTGAGTAAGTGACAGGCAAAGGAGCTTCTCTGCAGTAGCAAAGAGGTGGAGGTGCAGAAAGCTCCCTCCTACCTCCTGAGAAAGCCCCAGCCTGCACTGCTCCCCTGGGGGCATTTCTGGGATGGTCTGATGCCACCGTTCCTTGTGCAGCTCCAGACTGGGTATGCACATGTACCATGTACACACACCTGGACTTTATTCACATGGGCATTGCTGGGTCTTGTTTTGATCATAACTTCATCCTTCTCCACTGGATACATGAGAGTTACGGACACAAAGGTGGAAGTCTGTCAGCAAAGGTGGAAGTCTGTCAGCAAAGGTGCTGCATCCCCGGGTCACGTGAGATCTGTTCCCCCTCTGCTACACAGCACACGCGCCCAGCGGCGAGCTGGCAAAAATGAACTTGCCTCGTCTCCAAAACTGAAGAGTCAAACAATTACCAAAATAAACCATTTCTTATTCAGATGGTCACAGGGTTTGTTGTGACCAGACAAGGTTTGTTGGGAGCACTTAAGTCCACAGACAGAGGAAACCTCACTCAGCACAGGCACAGTCCAGCTCAGGTTAAGGCCGTGTCCCTCACAGAAGAACACATCGGAAAAAGCTGCTTTTCTTTTGCTGGTCTGGTGTGATTTTGACTCCCTGGTTGCTGCCTTGTGGGCTATTGCCTTCCTGAAGAGGCAAAGAATATTCAGTTACTCATTTACACTCCACAGCTTCTCCCATCCGTCTTTCATCTGGTCATTCTCTTGAGCCAAGCCTGACATACCCAAAAACCTTCCCTAAAACCAACAGGAGGCTTCACTCATTTCTCAGTCTTAAACCAGGCATGACAAAAATTTCTAGAGCTGCATCTGCAGCTTTTGGCTTTAATAGCTCACACTGCATCTATGTTTCTTCTTTATATTAACACAAAGGCAGCTGAGATTAAAAGATAATAAATTAAAGGGCATGTCTGGCTCTTGCTGAAACACTTATGAATGGCCAGCAAGACCCAAAATATCCCAGGTCAATCAATTCATGTCTGAACACATGAGGGTGGAAAGCTCAGTAAGAGCAGAAGGAACCCCCATCAGCTTCATTTCATATTTCATAAAGAACAAACCAACATGTATTTATTTGTTGTAAAAAAATAACCCAGTCACTGCTCAGGATGCTTTTGCAAAGATTGTCCAAAAACATTAGTTCTATACCTATTCTGAAACAGTTTAAATCTTCTACCCTGCCTCCTCTATCTTTATGATTTATATGATTTTCAGACTCCAAGAGTGAGAAGTATCATTAAACTGCTCTAACCCCCACGTGACTTTTAATAAAACAAATAAATCATTTTATTTAGAAAACCTCAGCTAATTCCTGAAATGCAGAGACAGTTGTTTACAAGCCAAGGTCAAAGCACAGCTTGACAGAACTAAAACCACATTCCTAGAACATTTCAGTGATCCCTTATGAAAGAGACCATGATACAATTTTTATACACTGTGAAAAGTTCTTGCAATGTGGCTTTTGGTTGGTTGTTGGTTTTTTTTTTTTTTCCTATTTAAATCCAGCATGGACAAAATAAGTTACTCACCAACTTCTTGTCCATTTTTGCTTTGATATCTCTTGCAAGAGTGAAAAACGCCTGGGACAAGTCAAACAGTTCAGTGTTACAGGGGAAATAAAATGTACCCTAACAAATAAATTAAATAACAAATATATTCCAACTCTAATATACTTTATTGTTTAGCAATAAGCTGAGTTTCTACATACACCAAACTCCTCAAGAACATCAAATTTTCAGGTTTTCTCCCCCTGCTCCAGGTTCTCTATATCCACAACCTCCTTTTTGAGCCCAAAAGCCCCACCCAGGGTTTGTGCAGCGGGAAAATGTCCTTTATCAATCCTGTTCTTGAGTACAAAGACATGAGCTGAGTTTTCCCTTGTGCTGCCCTGATGCCCTTTGCTGTAACACCCCTGTGGTGTCCTAAGCCCCAAGTTCCATTTACATAAATTAGCATAATTTTAGTTAAACAACACCTTAATGGAAGGCAGGGAAATGTGTTTAACAACCCACCCCCTGTACCCAACAATGGACAGGTACCTGTCCCCGCTGTCTGTCTGCACAAATAAGACAATAAATATCAGAGGAAGGGGTCTGTACTTACATTCTCTATGTTTATATTTGCTTTTGCACTGGTCTCCATGAATTTAATCCCAAAGCTTGCAGCGAGCTGAACAAAAGCAGATTTCACATGAGTTGAACAATTGCAGGAGCAGCTCCAAACACACCCCCGGGCACAGGCTCTGCCCCTCCTGCCACGAGCCACCGGAGTTGGGGATTTACTCACACAGAACAACTTGCAACAATTAGGAACTAAATCTCACTGCTGCTGGCCTGTTCTCACCAGCTTTGCTCTGCTCTTTTACAGCCTGCACATGTTTTAATCGGCTCCTTCCTCTTTTATTTTTCTTCTTGCACTGACACCTTGTAACACCTGCAGTGCAGATGCACTTTCCCTGCCTCGACTAACGCCAGAAAACACCATCCCACCTACCTGGTCTCGGTGGCTTTCAGCCAAAAAGAGACATTTTCTCAATGTCAAGCTCTAACATCCTTTTTCTTAGAAAAATCCAGCTCGTTGCCTTGCACCTGACAGACAATCAACAAGAATCCTTAACACAGGCTCAGCTTTTCATCCCAGGGGGGAAATGTATTGCCATGACAGCTTGGAGAACGTTCGATCATTCCACTCAGGTGGTGCCACGCTGACAATAATCAAAGCAGTTTTTAGACTTTGAAAAGCCTAAGCTGAGATCCATCAAAGCCACAGAGCACTCACCTTCTCCCCTTGCTCTCTAGAAACTTGTCTTTTGTCGTTTGCGTCACATTTGTTGCCCAGGATCATTTTTTCAACGTCTGGAGACGCGTGCTGGGACAGAGAGAGCAGACACCGGGCTTGGCTTTTGTACATCAACACTGGCAGGCACAGGAGGCACCACTCAAGTACCCAACGTGGAGATGCTGGTGCTGAGAACCTCCTGCAGATTTCCAGGCTCCCCCAACCCCTCATCCCAGCACCACGGCAGCTCCTGGATCGCTTGTCGTGGCAGGAAACCATCACATTGGGTGCCCTCAAGAGTACAGTGGCAACACAACAAATCACACAACAGGCCCCCCCAACAAATCACTGCCAGCCAAGTCAGTGTGTTACCGACTTCCATCCCACGGATGGAACATCAAACGTTACTGATTTCCATCCTATTTATTTTCCAAGTACCCTCCAGCACAAGAAGGGTAACACTTCTGAAGCAATTAAGCTTCAATCACTTTTAGAGGAGGAAACAGCACCTTTAACAGTCAGCAAGTAGAGAAATTACCTCTTCAATGTTCCTGACCCAGTTCCGAATATTTTCAAAAGACTTTTCATTGGTGATGTCGTACACTAACATGATGCCCTGAAGGTCAGAAGGAGAAAGATTGTTTCAGCAAGAGTTAAAGGCTCATCTGCAGCAGAGACAAGCAACTTAACAAGGACTATTTTTAACACAGCTGGTTCACAGTTAATGGCAGCGAGATAAGGGGTGCAGGATGTGTATTTATAGAGAGGAACATGGGGAAAGGTCCCTCTACAAAGTCCCATGTCAGCCCAGCATGGCCAGGAGCAGGAGCACAGCTGAGGGTCCAGCCTGGCACAGAAGGTCAGTTGTGCCTGTCCCACCTCAGCCCCAGCTGCCCTGACCCTCCCAGGTGGTTTATCCCAGATCCCAGGATTGCTCCTACCATGGCTCCCCTGTAGTAGGCGGTGGTGATGGTCCGGAATCGCTCCTGCCCGGCCGTGTCCCTGGAACAGACAGGACACGGGGCTCACACACCACCCCCAGCACTGACCCGAGATAACACCACCGAAGAGTTAAAGAATTTAACTCCAACCAGTCTTTAGGTGCACTAGGACCGAGTTTGAGCTTCTAAGATACCATAAACTACTGAACAGCACAACTGGAATAAAAGCACCACACTGCCGTCCCCACGCACAGCCCCGGTGACCGGACACCCCCCCCCCGGTGACCGGACACCCCCCGCGGCACAGGAGCCTCACCAGATCTGCAGTTTGATTCTCTTGCCATCGAGCTCTATCGTCCTAATTTTAAAGTCGATACCTGAAAAGGAGAAGCAACGAAATCACTCACAGCTCCTGCCCGGAGACCAAACCAGCGCTCTGCCTTTCGATTTCGCTGTTCTAGTTTCACGTCCTCAGAGCTCCCCCCGTGCCGGATCCCGGGGGGCTGCGGGGCCGGTCGGGGCCGGGCCGGGGACTGCGGGGCCGGTCGGGGCCGGTCCGGGGACTGCGGGGCCGGGGCTGTGAGGCCGGGTCAGGAGCTGCGGGACCGGGCCGGGGCTGCGAGACTAGGAGAACAGTGGGGGGCTGCGGGGTCGGGGCTGCGGGACCAGGCGGAGGTTCCACGGCCAGGCGGAGGTTCCAGGGCCGGGCGGAGGTTCCAGGACCAGGCGGAACAGCCCCTCACAGACCCCTCCCGGAGTCCCCCCGGGCTCAGCGAACCCGCCCCTCCCGGGCTTGGAGCCGCGGCGGCCGCAGCCAACCCCCGCCGCCGGCGCCCCGCGGGCCCGTGAGCGCCTGTGCGCGGGCTCACCGATGGTGGAGATGAAGGTGGCGTTGAAGGCGTCCTCGGAGAAGCGGAAGAGCGCGCAGGTCTTGCCCACGCCCGAGTCCCCGATCAGCAGCAGCTTGAACAGGTAGTCGTAGGTCTTCGCCATGTTCGCGGGCTCGGGCCCCGCCCCCGCCCCGCCCCCCTGGCGCCCATTGGCCGAGTCAGGCGGGGAGCGCGCGGAGCCGGCGCGCCATTGGCGGGCGGCCCCCTGCCGGGTGTAAGCGGCGATGCCATTGGTGCGCGCCCTCCTCCCGGGTGTAAGCGGTGCTGCGATTGGCTCCCCGCGGGCGCGCCTAGTCACTTCCTGCGGGCGGTGGCAGTGACGCCATCCTGCCACTGCCCAGCGTGACGTCACGCGGAGAGGAGCGCCACAAAAACCCACAAGGAAACCTCGGTTCTGAGAGAAATTTTTAATATGGAAGGGCAGGGCGGTGCCGCCACTGCCCGGGTACAGCTTCTACCAGGTTATACAAAAGGAGTCATGAACCGTGCGGGGCAGCCACGGGCGGGGCACGCAGGGGCTCCACGGGGGCTCCCTGGGGAGGTCTGGGGGAAAAAGGTCCCCGAGTGACACCCAGAGCCTCCGGCGTGGCTGTGCTGGTCATAACTTAATTGGCTTTCCCAGGATACAGAGAGAAAGAAGGAGAGAGGAGCGCTGCAGGGACGGGGCAGTTCCTTGGCCACTGGCAGGTCCCTGCCTCTCATATACAGTTCAGTTCGTTTAGCGTCTGGTCCAGTGTCTGGTGCAAGCCCAGGTTCTCCTCTTTGGCTTGGGCAAGTTTTTCTAGTGGGAAAGAAGGAAAACACAACTTAAGCCACGTTATTTTACAGCTTTTTCCTTTTAATAGAACCTGTGGTAACTTACCTTCGTGTTTAACACACCTCTACAGCTGGAGCATCTTTTGGCAATTGCTCTCATTTTAGGGAGGGTTTTGGCCACGTCTCTTGTGCAGTGACAGACTTGTGTTCTGACTTAATGTGTGATGTACAGGACACGTCCTGCCGGGTTTTCCTTGCCCCGGGAGGTTTTTAACCAGGCAGATGGAGCACAAGGACACACCAAAAGCACCCAAAGCGTTTTGCTGCCATCTGTGTCCTGGGAACACTAAAACTGAGGTGTTTGCCAGTGCCAGGTCCTGCCCTGGCTGTGTCTGCCCTTCCCTGTGTGAGGAGCTGAACATGGTTTTGGTGGTGTCACCAGCACAGTTTAGGTAAGTCCCAAGGAAGGAAACCCCAAAGGCTGACAGGTAGAGGTATCGTGTTTTATTGAGCTCAGTGCCCACAGAGGTGGAAGGGTCACTTGTGGAAGTGGCACAGGAGTGACAGGGATGACAGGCAAGAAAAGCTTGAGAAACGCAGCGAGAGGGAGCCCCCCATGTGCCCCCACACAGGGGCAGGTCACAAAGAGGTCATGTCATTGAGGGCATGGTCAAGCTCCTCACTGATGGCTTTGTACTTCAGCTTCTGAGCGTAGAGCTCGTCTGTCGGTCAGCAGGGCCAGCAAAAAATGCAGGGAAGAGAGGAGGCCACAGGAGGAGGAGACAGGCAGAAGGCAACAGCAGCCAAAGCAGTTGGGGAGGAAAACAAGAGAAGAAAACAGAGGCGTGGTTGAGTATCAGAAGGGAAGCAAAACACCCACACAGCTGCCCGGTCAGGAGCTTCACCTACGTTTCCTTTTTGCAATCCCACAATTATTTTTTCAGTAAGCAGATTAAGTAGGGTTGGGATCTCGAGCCCTTGAGTCCCTGAGTTGGCCAAAAGCAGGTTGTTGTTACCAACTTTTTTGCAGGAAAACCTCTTTCAGAACTTCCCAGTAGACACATCACACCCATCTACCAATACACCTGATGAGTGCTGCTGCCCTTTGCCAATAAAACCCACCACTCACTCCTAAAATTTGTTTTCTGATTTGGAACCAACCACTTTTAAAGAAATTTGAGCCATTCCATACCTTCCAGGTCATCAATAGACTTTTCCAGTTTGGCAACGGTTCTCTCTGCAAATTCAGCACGAGTTTCAGCCTAAAAAAAGTTGAAACAGAGTCACTGGATGCTCTTAAAAGAAATGATGCCAAAATACAGACTTTGGGGATGGCCAAACTCACTTCTTTCAGCTTGTCAGAGAGAATCTTGATTTCTTCTTCGTATTTATCTTCTTTTTCCGAGTACTGTGAAAACAATAAACATTCTTTAAGGGAAGTTGTAGCAACAATAATAAATGTTTATGAAACTGTGACCTATTTATAACCACTTTTCCTTTTACAACAGCTGCAAACACCATTTCCGTGGTTTTCTCCTCTTCCCCAGGCTTTTCAGGCTGGTGTGGGCAGAACTCATGGAGCAGGAGCCACAGCCAGGCAGCTAAAACCTCTCACTTGCTTTGTATTTCTGGCTTATTTCTATGAATTTTATTTACAAGTTTTGGCTTTGCCTGTACCCCTTAGTTCACTGCAAGAACCAACCTTTTCAGATTGAGCTTCCAAAGACTTCAGGTTGTTTGTGACGTTCTTTAACTCCTCTTCAAGGTCACTACATTTACTATGGGGGGATAATAAAAGTATGAATTACTAGTGTGATTTAATTTTCAAAGAATCTAAAACATACAAGGCAGGAGGTAATGAAGTCTGAAAGGAGAAAAGTGGGTATATAATGTACAAACAAGCTTTTCTACAGGTACTGATTACATGCCTGCCTACCAGGAGTAGATTTTTCTAATGAAATATAGTGTTGACCTTCAGTGTATTCTAAACAGTTACTCACACTTCAGACACCTCTGCACGCTCCTCAGCTCGTTCCAGTTCACCCTCCAAAATAACCAGTTTACGGGCAACCTGTAAAGACACAACAGCTCTGTCAGGCCAGTCTGGAGTTCACAGAATCCCAAAATGGTTTGGGTCGGGAAGGACTTTAAAGATCATCTCATTCTACCCCCTTGCCACGGGCAGGGACAGCTTCCTTACAGATTTCTCTCAAAGCACTACACTCCTGCTTCCTTTGGAATGAGGAAATTAGAATCAATCACCCCCCCCCCAGACATAACAGACTTCCCAATTAGTTAAGATTTTGCAGCGCTTTGACGCTGCAAAGTCACTATTAAAACTCCTCCTTGCTGGGAATGTTCCAAGGTTGGAGCATCAACAAGTGCACAAAGAGGAACTAAAGCGGGGAGTGAAGTTGTTGTTCAGAGCTCTCCTGAACGTTTCACCATTTCCTTCTCCCTTTTACCTCCTCGTATTTGCGATCGGCTTCCTCGGCAATGTGCTTGGCCTCCTTCAGTTGCATTTCCTGAATCTCCATTTTCTCTTCATCTTTCATTGCTCTGTTCTCAATCACCTTCATTCCCCTGCAGAAGGCAAAGAGTGTTTAATGTAGAAGCGTTTTAGCACTTCTGTCTCAAAGGTCCTGAAGTGGAATTTGATATTTGTAACCCAGAAATGGCCCATTACGACCCTCCATGTTCTTCAAGGCTAAAGGAATTACTCACTCAAGCTTATAAAGAAGTTCTGAGTCTCTGATCTGCAGATACTAAATTATACAGGAATATTTTATTCATATACATTAAATTTTTCACCCAAAGAAAGTCCCAAAGGGACATACCTCTCGCTCTCATCTGCTGCTTTCTCAGCCTCCTCCAGTTTCTGCAGGGCTGTGGCCAGTCGTTCCTGGGCACGATCCAACTCCTCTTCCACGAGCTGGATGCGTCTGTTCAGAGCTGCCACCTCCCCTTCGGCCTGTGAAACAACCACCCAGACCCGGGGTTACACAGGCCACTGGAAAACCTTCCCAACTAAGCAATTCCCCTAAAACTGCAATGGCATCTCCCCGGAGCTCCAGGGGCCCTTCTGCCTCTGCTTTTTGTTTGCTTAAACTGTGGCATCTCAGGAATGTCAAGGTATGGAGTGTGTGCTTGTCCTTTCTTTTTTTTCAGTGGTACTTATCATTCCTGCCACACAACAAAGGACAGGACTGCCAGAGGATCGAAGGATTTTTGGATCACTTTACCGGGCAGAATCTATCTACAGTTAAAAAACGAACTGTTCCCATAATGGCTTAGTTCCAAAACCTTCACTGTTGGTTTCTCTGCCCTTGGTTCCATCCTGGACCACAGTCACAACCCACTGCTGAGGTCTGAGCCAGTTCCTTTTCCATCCTGGCTCCTGAGCCTGCAAACACTGAAGAATCTTCATGGTCAGCTGGGCCTGACAGTTGGCCTCAACATGGCAGAGTCAGGCTTTTTTGGGGCAAAATTAGATATGTTCTTAAAATAAGTTCACTTTGCTTCCTGTGCTACTTAAGGAATTAGGCAGAAAGCATTTCTTGATAAGGTTTGTATATTATTGAATAAACTGCTCAGTAATTGGAGTGCTATTAATGTATAAAAAATAGACTAACTTATAAATGGAGAGATTGCCGGGAGAAAGGCCTGATACAGACAACATGGACAAACTGGTGTCCATAAATATGTGTTTATTAAGATATGGCTCCTTTAATTGTTTGTTTTTGAAGAAAAATAAAGCCCTGCTTTCATAACTGCCAGGTTTGCACACTTTATTGTCCCCAAATCTGAGCAGGATTGCCATCTCTAAGATTAACTTTTTTTTAAAAAAAAGACTTTTATGGGCTACAGACTCTGGAAGGGTGATTGTTTTATGCTTTATGGTAAAACACTTTAAAAAAAAAAAAAGTGTTTTGCTGCAGCTTTGCAAATTTGGTCACTGACCACTCCTAAGCTGGAGGAAGTGGTTTCCATTCACAGCTGAGCCATCTTGGAAAGGAGTTCAGTGGCTGATCCAAATGGAAGCTGACCCAGGATTCCTCTAGTCATAAATTATCCAACATTTCATTTGTTTTTTACCCAGTGCTGTGTTTAACTTTCTCGATTTACACACAAGGCATCGATCACGTACAAAACTGGCATCTGTTCTGTGGCAGCAACTCCTTCCTCTAGACAGGGCACTTTTAAGTCATATTTTAATTCAGCAAGATTCCAAAGCTCTGGAGCCGGGGCCACTGGGAAGCTGGGGTGAGCCTGGCTCCACCTCTCCCAGCAGCAGCCCGCAGTCCTTATACGGTAAAACTAACTCGCTGACATGTGATAAAATAGCAGGAAGATGCCGGGAAGGCTGATTACACA